GTATGTATGTAAGTTTGTATGCAGCAGGTAATCTCCGAAACTACTCATCCGATTTCAAAAATTCTTTCACCAATATTTAGAATGGAACTTCAGGGTGGACATAGGCTGTATATTATTCCGTTAAACATTCATATAAATTAAAAGATATAATATAGGTTAAGGCTTTTATGTCCAACAGATGGCACTACGAGTACGAGCCCTAAGTTTGCTTTTCTGTGAGGCATTATGCTTTTCTTTGAAAATGAACTAAAGCAGATCATCTTCTATCTATTTATATAAATAAAAATGTAATGCTCGTTTGTTCCTACCAATTCCTTTGAAATTTTGACACAACGCTGCATTCGAATACACACGTGTTTTTATATAATATACATGTCAAAATTCAACCCCACTGAAGGGAGATGGTTAGGATTAAGGCTTACCGTAAAGAACTCTGCTTCTATTTATACTATTTTAGATGCGGGTTTTGCGTTTTTGATTGCGTTTTAATAGGGTATGTCAACAGAATGTACACTAAGAATAAATTTTTCAAAAAATTCCCCCCCACGGGGGAAGTGTTATAAATTTATAATAGATACATTTTGAGCCACAACAACACTTGGCGGGGTCTGCTAGTATAAGATATTAACATTATTAAATTTATTATATTGCATTTATAATCTCTAAGCAAATTTGTTAACTAAAAATTTACTTTGTTCAAACTGAATTTGATTTCTTAAATTTAATTAAAGTAAATAAAAATACTAAATCCTTTATAAAATCTCTTATAAGATAAAATTCTAAAAATAATTAAAATACAATAAAAGTTATTTCAATTGAGTACAACTTTCATTACTTAAGAACTACACTCAATTTTTAAAATTTAATACATTGTCTTAACATTTAAAAAGAATAATTTCATATAAGTTAAATGTATTAATCTACTAATAAAATTGTTTTTGTAAACATATCATAATTGTTCTTTGCTAATATCTGAAATAAAAACAATACTAGAGATTCATAACAACAACAACAATTGTAAAAACTATTTTTGTAATTAATTTTTAAAATATATCAATTTGTTTATTATTATTTACTGCCTAACAGTGTTTAAATCGTAATGCAGTAAGCCTCCAATTTAATGAATAAAGCATGCTGAAAGATTAAATCAATGAGTATAAATTACTTAATATACAGTACATAATAAATTTACATTCTATACATTGTAATATGATTATTTTTAAAATAGAAAAGCAGACCCCTTTCCAAATTAGTCTGTTAAAATGAAGACTTACTGTATTCAGGTCTTACTTTAAATGACCAATGATGTTGTGCAAGTATAACAACAACAAAAGGATATTTACCCTAAAAATCTTGCTCCAACAGGTCCTACTTCCAAAATTCGAGAAGCGCAAGCTTCTCCTTCCATGAGCGGCGGTGGATGAGCAAGTTTTTCTTTTCTCAAATATCTACAAGTTATGCGCATGGGCATGGAAGCCTTCCGAGGTGGAATGATGACCCTCACTCCGGAGTGACGGCAGCCTCGCATCGCACCTCCCCTAGCATCAACCATGAAACTCACGAGAAACCTAATAAATTTTAATGAAAGAATTTTTAAATTGAATAATATCCATTATAATGAAATTTATTAATTTAATTAGAATTATAACAATTTCATTTTTATATAATAATTAAATGTGATTCCAATATTAAACTACAATAGCAACTGTTACTTGTATGATAATACTAGATACACTGTATAATAACTTCTTTTTTTTTACAGAAAATAGGAAGTTAGTATACAATGAAACTCTGTTTATCTGGCTCAAATGGGACTGGACCCATCCAGATAATCTGGAAAATTCATTATCAACATAAATAACATGGTTTACATACATTTTATTTTTTTATTTCTAATATCTTCTCCATCATTACAACCACTTTCTTTCTTTTAGGTGTCATTTGCATGGCGTTAACTTTATTTCACAAAAGATTGAAGGTGACTGAAACTCAGTGAAACAACAGTGACTGTGGATGTTGAATAAATAATAACTCACAAGGTTACAAATGATAAACTTATTAAAACATTGACTGCCATGAGAAGCACAACATTTTCATTCAACACGAAAGTAGCAACTTTTTATAATTGAAATTATAAAAGATTAGAAAAGATTCAACAAGATATTAAGTAAACTCAAAGAACACTCCCACAGAATACATAAAAATGAACATCATATGCCAATTGACAGAAAACAAGTCTGTTCTTGCAAGCTGCAGTGTTAACCTCAAGCAACATTGTGTTTAGGAATTCTTTGATTTTTTTTGCATATATAGGTTTTTTTGCAAGTCAATCCCTGTGTCAAAAGTATGGGAGATAATGTTTTATAATCCAGATAAATGGGTTTTCACTGTAATTAAGTTTACAATAATAAAATTACCTTCTAAAAACACTTCACACTTTTGAAATTCTTAGGAATTTCTTTAAAAATAGAAACACTTGTGTAGTTTTATATAAAAACTATATAATCATCAGATGGATGAAAATATTTAAATACCATATGCACTGCATTTCCTCAAGTATAAGACATATCATGAGTTTGAAATTGAATTTTACATTTTATTTATTTTTATGGAGGGAAAATAAAACTGATTATTTTAAAATTTTAACTTCTGTTTATCTAGTTTGTTCTTACTTAAAAAACCAAATTACATGAAATAGGCAATGTTTGGCAGCTCTATAGCCATGCTCTTCTGGGTTGAGTTTCTTTGAATCAAATGAACATTCTCCATACAAATGATTTGACTCTCAAGAACTTGCCAATATAAGGATTTATTTACACAAAAAATATATTTCTATACATAAAGGATGAGTCATTTTCATTTGGTCCCTTCACACACTGTTGAGGTAGTAACAATTCCCCAGCAGAGTCGACCTTTTATTGTAGGCTACTTGTCCGCCATCCAATGCAAAAAGTTAAAATAGTCCTCTAGCGGTAGCACAATATTTTTTTGTAAAAGTAAATTCTTCTCGGCAATTTTTTAAAATAAGGATTTATGTTGAGAACCCTTACAATGGCAAAATTCCTAAAGTGCAGCTGAAACGTTATTGTTTTCGTAAAACACCTTTACAAGAAATGGCACATTCTGGTAAGTGATGGTCATTGTAACTAATAAGAGTGACATTCAACAGTTGTGGCCAAGTAATGAGTTTTGATACTAATTTTCTTTTTTAAACAAATCTCTTAAAATCAAATTTGGGACAGGGTTGGCCCAAGCTGTAGTCAAACTACGCAGGGTGCAAAAATTTAGAGACACCATAGCCAACATTGTTAAAGATGACTAGTTCATCTTTAACTGATGTTGCCTATGGTGCCAAAAACTCTCTTATCTTGGGCCAACCCTTCTAGATAAGGTCTTGCTATCCATTAATCTATATTCAAACTCTTTAAAGAACAGGACAATGTTAAAGTATTCTAGCACTGTAGATAAGATACAAGAGTTGGACACAGAGAACAAGGAAGGCAACAGGGCCTAGAATATCCCTTTGGACTTGTCCATACAAGCCATAGCATTCTCTGACCAAATTTATGTTCCAACAATCCACTGGCACATGAGAACTCGGCTGCTGATGATACTCTGTAAAAAATGATAGAAATTCTCACAGAAACACCATATGAGTCACTTGGACTGTTAAATATCTCTCTACAGTGTCAAATAGGAGTATTTTGATTATGATCACCCAGTAAAAAACTATTTGTTTTAACTTACATCATAAATACTGTCATTTCAAAGGCAGTTGAATTTTAAACCTTTGTTATTGGCAAAGCTTGTTTGAATTATATCAATAATAATATTTTCAACTATGTAATTTTAATACCATGTTTCAACTATGTATTTTAATACCATGTTTCAGCTATACTCAATAGTATAGCTGAAAACATGGTATTGGTATGTAACACACCATGCAGTCTATTTATAATGATTGCCAATTGTTGTTTTGGACAAGTAAAAAATCAATAAGGAAGTGTTTTAGAATCAAGAAATTATGGTGTATATTTTAAAAATACACAATTAAAACATTAATATTTATTGTTGTAGTTTCCAATAGTTAAGATATTCCAATAAACCTTAAAACTGCAGTAACAATAGAACAAAATATTTATGAAATGTAAAATATTTTATTCTAGAATGTTTAAAAATTATTGTTCTATTTGAATGCAACCAGCATTCACTTTATTTTTTCATGGAAGGTTAGTAAAATATAGCCAAAAACATTAGAAATTAAAGTTGTTGCTGCAATTTTATGGTTTATTGTACATAAGACATAATTTATTATTTCTGCTTCATAAACTGAAAATTATAAATATTAGAAATCTATTTAAATATAAGGACCTTGAATAAGTTCTCGCTGTTTTTTTGTGAAAATTAACACTTTATTTAAAAAAAGTTGTAATANGAATACATATTTATATATTACTTAGAGAAGTCTTTTAGCTTTGGAATAAAAAGTTTCTATGCTCTATCTTTATTACAACTCTATTTATTGAATATTTTATTCTGAGGTCACGTGATGACATCAGAATTTCCGGATCTCTTTCGGTAACAAGTCTGCCCCTGGTCAGAGTCAGATGGTAAGGAAAAGTCGGAGTTGGTAGATTTTTACGCGATTTCACAGCCCTGCTATTGTGACAAATAATTATCAGAGCGATTCCCCAGCATTGCTGCTAACATCCTTATGTCTTCAGGATAAAGTGGTGCTTAGAAGTATCTCATGCACTGAAGTAATCATATCTGTCCTGGAGAACTGGAAGCAGAAAGAAAGTTTCCTAGTAAGGACAGTGACATAAGTCAAGCTTCTAGCAGGATGGGCAGTTGACCAGTGAAATAGTTAGTAAACTACTTTGTTGAGAGGTTCTTAAATGCTGTGCCAATTCCAAAAGGGATTCTGACAAACAGGTTACTAATAAAGGTAACAGCATCTGTGGAAAGAGTGGCCTCAACTACCTCTTTTTTCTACTTTAACGATGACAACAGATAAAATATTAATGTATGCAATTGGGTGTGGACAATATGCCAATGTCAAATTGGAAACAGTAATCAATGCAACAGTGAGGCTGCTTGTGGTGCAGTCAACACCACCATGCAGGGTTTTGGTGGGCTTGCACTTACAGAAAGCCCACTAAAAACCCTAAACCAACATTTGAAGAGGACAGATAGCAGAATCTTTGCAAACTGAGACGGTTGGTGGAACTTATGAGACCTACTCAGACTCGGACTTCATTTTATTCTGAAAGTATGGAAAGCAAATTGACAGTCCCACTTACTACAACCTGTAAAAAATAGTCACAGATAGCACAATTAGGTGATGAAGGCCAATGACATGGTAACTTATCTGAGGAGTGGATTGAAGCACCACAACACCAGAAAGAGTTTGCCAATAAGCAGGCTACTGTTAAAAGTGACAGCCAAGAAGATTGGAATAGCCTCAGAGGGAGGAAAACCTTCTTCCTCCAAAAGTAAAAGTAGATTATGCAAAAGGAAGTAGAAATTGCTGAGGTCAAAAAGCAGTCTCTCTCCACTACTAGCAAGAATGAGGGACTGAAGACTACAGCAGAATTGGACAAAGTTAATGAGGAGTTCATTTGACTTCTTGGTAAATCTGATGATAGATGTCAGAAATCAGTTTTCTCTGCTATGCATTACATGCTTAGTAGAGCAACAACTATTTTAAATGCAAAAGAGATTAATATAGCCTCCCACCAGGTAGAAAACAAGACTGCAAGAAATGACTGTCCACTGTTAGTCACCCATTCCCATCGCAACCAGAGATAAGGTAAGTTGATGCAAAACCAAGGTATGCAGTCATCATTGGTCTCTAAGGAAAGCCAAGGAGAGGCCATAAAAACATGAGCTGACCGTCCCAATCATGGTGCACTTGATCTAACTTAAAGATGGCAATAAGAGGGTCAATTCGTATATAGTAGTAACAATCTTTTTATCTCAGAAACTATAAGAAACATCTGGAATATTTAATGCTCTTTTTAATCCTTATTAAATTACAAACAATTTGATGTGATTCCATAATGGTACATGTGGTACTTCTGGCTTGATGTATTCAGCAGAGCCATCCAGCATATCCTTCCACAGTCTGTTCAAGTTGTATAATGTTGTTGCTTATGGAGCAAAACATCCTTCCTAGCATTCATAAGAAACACCTCTATTTGATGGCACTCAAATCCATTATTCTTCACAATAACACTACAGCACACACGATTAGAATTTGCATTTAGAAATGGGGCCGAGTGATTTTGGAATATCTGCCATATTCTCCTGGTCTTTATCTATGCAACTTCAATAGCTTTCCCAAAATCAAAGAAAAGTTACAGGTTCAAAGATTCAAAATGAGGGATGACATTGTAAATGTTCAGTAACAGTCTATATATGTTATCCAGGAGAATCCTTGCAGACCACCCACATGCCAGCAAGAAGCTTCTTCATCAGTCATATTTATGACATCATTGCAAATATATTACAGAGCCTACAAGTTTCAACTATATGTTAGAGTACTATAAAATCACTAAGTCACACA